CTCCACTCCCTCACCCTTTGACCACCCCTCACTTCAACCCCCTGCCCTCAAACCCCACTACCAATTGCTCATCAATTGTCACTGTCATACCCTCATGCGATCTCCCCCTCTACCCACACCCAATTGTTTTCAATTTTTCAAATTAAACAAATATAAAAAGGACCATTATTTATTATTTGTTAAAAATTAATTGTAGTATGAAGAGTAAATTGAGGGTTCATTACAATTTGGATGATAAAATAGTAATTGTGATAATTTACGGGTGATTTTAAAAATACATATGACGTGGAGGTACATATGAGGAAAAGCAAAGTAAAAAAATGAAGAAAGCTAATGGTTGAATCCTAAATACCGTCCGCTTCTTGAGACGGGCATGAGGTTGGAAACACATGGCACCAAAATCCAAAAGCAAAGACATGCATATGCGCATGTCAACAACGCATGTGCGCACACTCATACTCACATGCATACATATATGGTCATAACACTTTGTGACTGGTTATTAAACTAAAATTCATGAGAACTCTACAATCCATTCAACAAACAACTAAATGCATTGACCTTGATTTATACACCTTGAATACTTTAACAATGAGAACTCAAGTGTTCTAAAAAGTGATATCGCATGCGTCAATAAGTGTCAATAATTTACAATCAAAAGCTTGTTCTGAATTGACTTCTTAAGGAGGTAAGAAGTTCTCAATACTCGATCTCCCATACCCAATCTTAGACTAAGATTTTCATGTGTGCGCATTCATGTTGTCTGCCAATCATCTGCGTAAAGGCATCATTTCTTTAGGGTTTGCTCTCATTTATGATTTTCTTTTTACCTGGTGCATGATCCACTCACCATTAAATAAAAAACTAGTTCTTCAATGCTTCTTCCAAAACAATGAAAAGACCGAAAAGAGGCCCAGAGCAAGTCTTTGAAGTGGAGGCGCTTTTCACTAGGGCAGGCATTTTTTGTGAGGGCAGGGGATAGAATCGGCTTTAGCAATTGTAATGATACGATTTTTTGCCAACTGTACTATTGCCATAAAAGCTTTTGAGATTTGGTATGAACTAAAGAGTACATTAAATATGAAGCAATCAAATAAAACATTATAGTTCGATGAGATATTAGGTCTTCGCAAATTGATTTAATCTAAAACAATCTCGAGCTTAAACCTCAATCTTGTGTTACTGGCATAAGAATTTTAACTTAATTAGAAAAGTTGTGTGGTTTTAAAATATTCGTAAAATATCTTAAGAACCCAAAACTATTTATTCCAAGAATAATTTTAAGAACCCATTAGAATTTCAATCTAATTATTAGAAAAAATCAGATAAAGCAAGGAGAATTTGAAATAATATTTTGAATAATTTGTGTAAAGGATTTATTTTTTTTTTTTCAGATTGCAAGGAACTTTTCTTTTTTTAACTAAAATTAAGGCGAGGGTGTAAAGTTGAGGGAATAAAACAATTTGGGGGACAATTTTCAATTATCATAATAATTGTTTGAAGGTTTCTCAGAGTATTGACCTTTGTTCTCATAGTGTTGATGATTTACTATGAAAATCGAATTAGACTAACTAATGGAATTGATATGATTCGGCCTTGTTTTCAAATTTTAATTAGATTAAATGATTTAGTTTTTAAAATCAAATTAGACTAACCAATGGAATTGATATGATTCGTCCTTGTTTTCAAATTTTAATTAGATTAAATGCTTTATTTTTTTATTACATGATACTTGTGTTGGAATGGTAGAGTAAATAGTTTAGCTCTTCTCCATAATTTTACTAGGATATATAGCTACTTGTAACCATTATTTTAAATAACTAATATACATTTATTATAATGATTGCCGCAAAATAATATGGCCTCAATATCATTTACTGTTATTTAGGAATTTTGGTTGATATATCCCGACATGGCCGATATATCCACTGATGTTGGCCTATATATCTTTTTATATGACATGTCATAGATAACACCGTTGTTAGCAATTTTTAGGTGATATATCATGATTTTTTTTATATATCAAGTAACATTTCGGCCTCAAACGGGTAGGCCAAAATGTTGCAAGATCAATTGAACAAGCATATACTAATACCAAAAAAGTTTTAAAAAATAAGCATTATCAAGTGAAACGTATACCTCAAGTTATTGCTTTCATGTTATATATCAGTCCTCCATCAGATCTAAGATGTAGGTAAATAATTATATATTCAATTTTATCTCCTTGTTTTTGAGCGATCTATAGCTAGTATGTGAACCCAAAGACACGACAAAAAGCAGGGCTGCTAGTTGACTCTCAAGTAGCAGTTCAATGCTAAAATAGGTTTTCTTTTTTCCTTTTTCATTTATTGTTCTTCCTACAACTAAATTTTATGAGATTGAGGAATAGATACCTCATCGACAATTTAAGAGAACCTCCTTTAACAATGTATTGTCGACAAAATTGAAAGTTCATTAAGTTTTAGTTAAGTCTTCCTAAATTCAAGTACACAAAATCATTGGATACTTTTTAGGGAAAAATTGCAAAATAGACCGTTTTTGCTAATTATTTAGCAAAATAGACCGTTTTGCTAAATAATTTATTAGCAAAATAGATCGTTTTGCTAAATAATTAGCAAAATAAACCTCTTTTTGGCCAACAGGCCAAAAAGAGGTCTATTTTGCAAAACAGCTCAGAAAACATACGGGACTAGTAGTCCCGTATGTTTTAATCACGGATTAGTGAAATTTTCTACTCAGAAAACATACGGGACTACTAGTCCCGTATGTTTTCTGAGTCACTAATCCGTGATTAGTTGGCTCTAAACATACGGGACTAGTAGTCCCGTATGTTTTCTGAGCCTTGTTTTTCAAAATCGACCTCTTTTTTTCAAAAGAGGTCTATTTTGCTAATTATTTTTCAAAGTGGTCTATTTCGCTATATATTTCATAAAAATGGTCTATTTTGCAAATTTTCCCTACTTTTTATGTTCAAGAATTATATCAGATAGTAACACATCAAAAATACATGGAAGTGCAGATTTCTACATACGAATCCTGATAATAAATAAATCCTTAAGCAAAATTAAAACTAGAAACCATTTTCCTGTTCAGCTGAAACCAACTAGCGGTAAGAGTCTAAGGAGAATTCCACTCCCAAAAGCTAGGAGTATACAATTGACACAATTTAATCTCCATGACGTCAGTAGGAAATGAATAGTTCTGTAATAGTCTAGTCCTGATCAAACATTGCAATTAGTTGAGTTTACTTCCTTTGAATTTGCACTAGACAAATCCCAGACGACCACTACAATATCGGCGGCTCTCTACCATTTGTAAGAAACCTAGTCTCTTGTAGACGCACAATTGACTCAACATTTATGCTGCGTTTGGATGGGGGGTAAAGAAGGGGAAGGAAAGAGAATTTAAGTTTAACTTCGTTTTGGAGTTTTATTGACCGGGTAAAGAGGGGAAAGGAATGAGAAGTTTTCTATGATTTCTTTCACCCTCAAATTGGGTGGTAACTGAGGGAAAAGAAAGGAAAATAAAAGTTCTTAATGAAAGAGACATTTTGATCCTTTATCATAATGAATCAATAGCTAAAATTCATTTACATTTACTTTCCTTTCCTTCTTGTAATTAGAACTCCCAAACAATATAACTTAACTTCGCCTCAATTCCCCTTACGAAACTCCCAAACAAATATTATATTTTTCTCCTCTTCTCTACCTTTTCCTTCCCTATCTTACCTCACCTTTCCTTCCCCTAGTAAACTCCCAAGCATAGCATTAGTCAAAGTTAACATCAATCTAGTCATATGTTTTCATCATTCTTGTCTCAAAACCAGATAAAATAAGATCTTCAATCGAAAACCCTAACACACAACAGTCTTAATGACTGATAACAAATTTTTGATTTTTTTTTTTTGGGTAATACCTTTTTTGGGACGTTGTAATCGATGATGAAAGAGCCAGGCTTGTCAAGGGACAGGATTAAGCCGTTGACCGAGGGGCCATTGACGAAGGTGGCGTCGGTCATCGACGCTTTGAGATTCACGTCTCCTGACTTGACGGCAAGAGTCGCCACCGCCGACGAGCTCTTCTCCGCTTCGTATCTCCCCTTTATCGTCGCCTTCATTTTTTTCCTTTTTTGGATTTTCCTTTTTCTTTTTACTTTTTACTTTTTTTCCCCTCTCTCTTCTCGATTAAAGAAAGAAGAGAGAGGAGAGAAGAATAAGACGAGGGAAGGAGACTTCGGATGTTCCGCCGGGGAGTTTTATCCCTTGCGTCGGAAAAAGGTAGGAGACGGAAAAAGACAAATCAGTGTCTTTTTCGTAATTTTTTATCACGTTATGGGTTTTTACTAGGCTAAATAGCGCTTGGATACCTTAAAGTATCAGTGATTTTCCACTTACAGACCCTAAGTATTTTTGTGGCATTTAAATGCCCAGTTGCCTCTAAAAGCATCACTTTGCTAGCTTCTATTAATTAAATGTTGCACGTCACAAAGAAATTAATCAATTTTCATCATGCGTAAATCATATGAAAATTTTTAGGGTTGTATTCCAATGTTTAACCATAATAATCCAACATTTATGTAATAGAAGGTAGTAATAAGCAACATTTTAAAACAATTGGGTATTTGAATGCCTAAAAGTACTTAGGGTCTACAAGTCATGTAAACTCAATTATCCATTTTAGCATCATTAGATCATATGTTTTTCCCCATTATATTGTATATCAGACTTTCAAATCTGTACATTTTCTAATCTAAATCCTCAAATATACTAATTATTAGCAACCTTTTGAAAATAGTGTTTTTGACATATTAGACGCTCATCCTTCTTGATCTCGAGCCAGTTGGAGCAAGTTAGGATGGAGACGTTCCTGGACACCCACATGAACTTCTCCTTCCAGTCTTTATAGGACTTAGGAGCGTTGGCGACAATCTTATTTCCCCCTAAGACTTAGAGTTAATAGTGGCCCTTGTGCTGATTCACCTTCACACAGACGAGGTGGCCAAGAATTCTCAAGGTCAGGCCGACTCCCAACTAGTGACAGATAACCACTAACCCAACCAAAGTGGCGATAGAGTTGGACTTCATCTTCGACAGTGATATGTCCAAGGTCTCGAAGAACGGCGGAGAAAAGGATGCAGTGGTAGGCACATCCAATACTCTAGGTGTTTAAGATACACTGGAGTGATGCTATCAACATGATCATACACCTCCCATGTACACGTCAACATTGTTAGGAAAAACGCCCTAGGGATGTTTTACTTGCCCTACAGACTCTCCAACAATGATGATGGCACTTTAGAATGGAATTTCCTAGCTAGTTCACCCGGACCTCATTCCAAACCATGGAAGATGAAGACGCCATCGAATCTAAAAATTCAATGGAGAAAATGTTGAAGAGAATCTGAGTTCTTTCACAGTTGAAGAGTTCAAGAGATTTTATGAACATCAAAAATCTCTCACATCAGAACAGTCGTACTTATAGGCAGAAGGGCCGACAGGTGGCAAGATCACAACGGTCGAATCATCTCCCAGCCAATGGCAGCCAATGGCCGAGATTATTCCTAGAATATGAGGCGACCGCTCCAGGATTGAAGAACCCCTCATCTTAATTCGCCTGAAATCCCCACACGGGATTCAAGGCAACGACAGCTCAATATCTTCTATGACATCATGCAGAACCCTGTAAATTTTATAATGAATATATTGAATTTCTAATGATAAATAATTCCTTGTGAATATTAAATATATATATACATATATAAGGAATGTGATTATCAGTGTACGGGAACTCATCAAGTGTTTTTAAGTGAGATAATTTGAGTAGTTCGAGCATCATGTGGTGATCAGATCAAACCTGGCAAAGTTCATCTGATCGGTCGACCGTAGTGGACGCGGCGGTCGACCGCACCTCGTTCTCGCACTCAGGAAACTCGTTTCCTGCTGTGCGGTCGACCGCACTAGGCGCGGTGGTCGACCGCCCAGCAGGCAGAGAGTTTGCTGGGTTTTGGGTCTTAACGGGTTTGGGGTTTAGTATATATTCTAATTTACCCAAGAGAACCCTTTTTCATCTGAAATCAGAACCCTAGCCCCCCTCTCTCCCCTCAAACCCTAGTTTCTCACTCTTTGGTGATTTGGAGGAGCTTTGAAGGGGTTTTCAGCGGATTTTTGGTGGTTTCAGCGAGAGGGATCATCTTCCTCCAGATCTAGGGCTTCGTTTTCGTCGTAGGCGAGTAACATCTCACCCAACTTCACCCCTTTTTATTTTTATGCTTAGATTTGAGTTTTTAATCCGGTTTTTATTGAGCCCAAATAGTATTTTGTGTAGATAAAGTAGATCTTATGGCATGAGGTGCAAAAATCATATATTTCAGTCTTAAAAAGTTCACTAATGATGTTTAATTAATGAGATCTTGATCTGAAACGTTTTTATGAAGGTTAAACTTATTTTCTTCTGTTTAAGAACTTTCATGTTGATTAAGGTTTGGGATTTTTGGTAATGAGGTTTTAACTATTTAAACTTGTTATTTACTGCCATACATTACTATTGAATTGTTAAAATTAGTTGGTTATAGAAAACCTCAAATTTTATATGAGTTTCAAAGATGACAGAAACCCAGGCTGGGGTTCTGTCCGATCAGCGGTCGACCGCAGCGGACTCAGCAGTCGACCGTCGTGAGTTTTTGCCAGCAGAATCGCTTCTGCACTTTGAGCGGTCGACCGGCATGACCACAGCGGTCGACCGCCGCTCAGCTTTTGAGCCCAGTACTTCTCGGATCTGCGAGCGGTCGACCGGAGTGGGCTCTGCGGCCGACCGCCGCACAGATTATGGTGCCCTGTTTGTTTTTGTCGAACTTTCCACTCGTTCGAGTGTTTGCCTCGACTTTCTAACTTTGGTTCTCAGTTTACTAAGTATCTATGCATGATAGATGGCTTGAAATGCCAGTTTAGAATCACACACCGAGTTGAGTGTGAAATTTGTATAAGTATATCTCCACATACATCTCATCGACGATTACTATTTGGCCCATGTGGTGAGAAAACTAGGTTAAACTCAGTCCTCATGTTGGACAAGCCCTACCCCTTAGTCCTCGTGTTGGACATACCCCTTAGTCCTCGTGTTGGACATACCTCCTACCCCTTAGTCCTCGTGTTGGACATACCCCTTAGTCCTCGTGTTGGACATACCTCTTAGTCCTCGTGTTGGATACGCATTGCTATTTAATCCTCGTGCTGGATATGCTTTACCACCCGGTCCAGGCGTTGGACAACGGTCATATCCGGTCCAGGTGTTGGACAACGGTCACATCTGGTCCATGCGCTGGACAACGGTTTTATTCAGTCCATGAGTTGGACGTTTACTTCATGCAGTCTATGGGTTGGACATTTAATTTATATAGTCTATGTTCTGGACACTTAATCGTTTTCTGACACGTCACTCATGTGAGTATGATATGACACTTATGTAGAATACGACATAGTATTCATGTAGGACAGTACATGATACTGCATTTACGTTCTGAGATGGGTTGTATTCCCTTTTACTTATTTTCTGTTCACGTATTAGACTCCGAGTTTAGTACTTATGGATTTTCAATATGGGATATAAGGTATATACATGAGGGTTTCCTTGTTTGGATTATTTCGCTCGACGTACCTATGCCCGTGTTGAAACTTCATAAGTACTAAGACCCATTGTTTATTTTTAGGATAATTGTTTATATATGTATATTTTGTGTTAACTGTATTTTCTTATACAACGAGCCCTCTCCCTTGGGGTTGGTTGTGATGTTGCTCGCTAGCGCTTTGACGCTCGTTGTCCCTCCCCCTTTCAGGTCACGAGCCAGGAGCCCGGAGAGTCGCAGGTTGATGGCGACACACTTTAGTGTTCGACTATCTATTCTAGCTATGTTTTATTTTGGACCTCCACTATAGACTTTGTTAAGACGGTTGAGGACTTTATTTCTAGATGTTGTAAAGGCTGTGTGCCTTATTTCCTTTACTCAGACTTGTTGTATTTGGGATGTATTAAGAACTCCAGTTTGTTCATTTCAGACATTGACTTTATATTCCTGTATGTCGGATGATGAAATACTATTTTTATCTCTATCATTTTCATCAGTTATCTCTTGTAGTATTTTTCACTTGCTTTGTACCTACACCTGTTATTGACTCACTAGAGTGATAGAATTGTGATGGTGAAACATGTTATTGCACGGTGTGGTGCATGGCAGGTTTGACATTCTTGGTTTCACCTCGGACTGCAGTCTTGTGTGAACCCAGGGGCGTCACAGTTGGTATCAGAGCTCTAGTTCCAGTATCCTTAGGATCATCCTGTGTCGAGTCGTGGAGCTAGGATAGAGTTTCCTAGGATTCATGTATAGAGTCCGTAAGGATTTCCTAGTATGAGTGAGGACGATATATGCGTATCTAAAAATTTGAGAATTTTTTTTTATGACAACTATTTTTATATAAGTTTAAAGTATTTGTGCAAATACTATATGTTGTGAAAATTGTATTGTGATACACTATTTATAGAAGTCTATTTTGACTCATAAACTCTTATTTTCTTATGATCAGAGAGATGGCAGGACGTGGTAGACCTCGTACCAGGAGAGCTACCCAGGCAGAGTCACAACAAACTCCATCAGAGCAGCAGCCAGCTCAGTCCGAGAGGCTTCTCAGAATTTGGTGGACATCATGGCTCCTCTTATTACCCGGATGACAGCCATTGAGGAGTTGGTGACTACTCATATAGCACCATGGACACCACCACCACCGGTAACTCAGCAGCAGGGGATACCTGCCGTTCCTGTCAGAGAGAGACCCCCAGAGGTCACGCCTGCAGCCATTCCTCTAGCAGTCCCAGACAGAGCCACCGAGCAGGAGGCTTGGCTCCGTATGGTTGAGAGGTACCAGAAGATGAGAGCACCCGAGTTCCAGGGATCACCAGACCTTCTTGCAGCCCATAAGTGGAAGGAGGATGTGGGCAACATTCTTGACATACTCAGTGTGGACTCAGTTCAGAAGTAGAGATTGGCATCCTACAGCCTGAAGGGTGATGCCGGGAGGTGGTACCGACTTCAGTTCACTCCAGAGCAGAGGATGAACCTCACATGGGAGGACTTCATATATTTCTTTGATGGGCAGTATATTTCCTCTACAGCACAGACAGGGAAGGAGCTCGAGTTGTCCCGTTTGACTCAGGGGGACATGACAGTTGCAGATTTTGAGAACAG